CTCATAGAACAGCCAACTTTGCTCTGCAGTGCACCAGGGCCTGAAATGACTTCCATGTGCCGCCCCATCTGCACCTCTGCTGGGCTGTAGCCAAATAACTGTCCTTTCCACTTTTTAAAGATGCCGTGGGATGAAATTAAACAAAAAGGGTGATGATGTGGGTTGTGGAGGTCAGAGGGGTTGGATGAATCAGAGGTCAGGAGAACTTTAAAAAAATGATGGGTTAGGTTTTCAAATCCAGATAATGAAAAAGACAAGTCAGTGGGAAAAAGAAACGGAAACTGTTCACTGAAGGCCACCTGGAACATTGGGATGTGCCAGATTGTGACTCACCAGTCTGTGGTTAAGTCCTGTAATAAAACCCCCCCCAATGACTCCCCTCCCTATCCTTCTACTTTGCACTGCCCTATAAATCTCACTCCAGTCGATTAGTGTGCCCTTAGCAACAACTAACACACAGTCATGAAATTTTAACCAAAGCCATGAGTTAAATCAGGTTGAGAGGTGAAGGCAGGGTATCTCGAGGCCAGTTGGCTGATCAGGTCGTCTGGCCCTGCCAAAAAACCCCTGTGGCCTTTTCACATTTACTCACACCAAAGCCCAGCAAGCTTTTCTCTATGGCTGTATTGAACATATTGGCCAATGCAATGCCCTTTGTATAGTTGTGCGATAAGTCATAAAGTAGGAATCAGACCTTAAGCTAGATGTTCCAAGTTTTAATCAAAAATAAGACATGGCAAAAACAATGTTTCATATTTTTCCCTTTTTGTCCAGTAAATATTTAAAAAAGGGATTTTACACCTTGGGATTGTTTTATTTTCTGTCCCTTAAAGAAGCATCCACAAAGTGACATAAATGTATCCAGTTGGTCCATGGGGATAACAATATTTATTTTTCTTTCATAATTAGATGATACGTTTCTATGATTACGCTGATGAAGTCCTAGTGCTGAAACGTGTCTGTTGTTGTGTTGCTATATTCTTACCCGGATAAAAGGAAACTAAAAGGACATTTGTGTGCTGACTTTTCTCTCTCTTATTAAGTTAAGTGAAGCTAATGTTTTTTTATATTGCCTTCCTGATAAATAAAATACAGTTAATTTGTCTGCAGTTCAGAAAACATCAAGCATTCGTGTGTGATACACAAGATCAAATCATAAAATACATTGTTTTGATGTGCAAAGCATAAAAGAGGAATTTACCAGGATCAGAGTGCAAAATTCAACCTCTATGATTCTTACAAATGTCCTCCACCCACATCTGGACATAGCTACTGATTTCCCTGTGGTCCATCACAAGGGAAGCAGTAGAGCTGGTTGTTCACACATGACCTATGACCTGCCACTGGGGAGCCAATGGGGGAGTAGTCTGTGTCTTGGGAGCTCTTGCCCTCTGATGTGATGGCTCCAGGCAGTGGGCTTTGCGTGAACCCATCCCCCATGGCACCCCTCGCCACTAGATCCTCTGCATTATTCATAAAGCCCAAGATGGGGTGGGGAGAGAAACAGAATATGGAAAAGGAAGCAGCAAGGTTCAAGACCTTCTCAGATCACAAGGAACTTCTGCTTAACCTCCCTTGAAGTGGCGAACTCAGGGATAGAGCAGTTTTTTAAGGAACTGGATCTGAAAGCAGGACTGGAGATCAATGGTTTGTCCCTTGAGGCTTGGTGGAGATCGCATCCACTGCAAGGTGATTGGTGAATCAATGTGGTTCCCATGGTTCACTTTGCCATTGTGAGAACAGATCCTTTCAATTCCAAGTGATACTGACTTATGAATAGTTTAGTTTGCCTAATGCTGATGTCAAACCAGTGTACAGTAATCCTACACAGATTGAACAAAACACTCTGTGCCAGTGTCTATGTTAACATGAATATGTTCACATCAGGTGTAATATGAAACCTGCTCTTTCAGGGTCACAGATCTCCTATTTGATCTTCTGTACACAAGCATTGGTCAATACATTTAGCCTTTAGTGAATGTTTCCCTTTTCCATGTGCACAGAGCATGCTATGCAGCTCCACTGCCTACCAAATACACTCTGTCATTGTGTATGATAGGTGACGATCAGAGAAAAGGACATACATGTTAAGCTGTTAATCCCTAATGCACACCATGGAACCTAACAACAAATGTACACCCCCAGCTCTTTAAAGCACAGCACATACATTTCTAATTGCTTAATTGCCTGATTTGTTTTAACTGACAGTGGTGCCCTGGCCCGTGACAAGGCCATCATTTCCTCATCCTCATTGTCAGCAATTTGCAAGGTGGATACACACCCACTAGACAATATCCAGTGCCACAGTGTTAGGCACAGCAATGAATTAAGAATGCATTGCAGAGGCAGAGAGATGAATAAATACAGCCGTGGCCGGGTTAATTCTGAGAGACATGAAGGCAGGAAGATAAAATAAACTAACAGCAGCATGCTGTCTACCAGATAAAGTGGGTACTTCATCGTCTCTCTGCTGTAATTATTGGCTAATAGTCATTAACCTGGCAAACAGAGGTTTAGCTGTATTGTTTAAAGGACTCTGGGATGCATAATGACAGACTAATATGTCATAGCACTGGGGGAGATGGGGGAGGGGTGGATTAATGAGATTTTACTGGAGGGAGTGTACAAGAAGAGGTGGGGCACGTCTGGAAAATATAGGGGAAAGAGGGCCACATTAAGCTAATTGGAAGATGAGTGCCTACTTGTAAAAGTGCTTCTAATGGCATATTTGTTTCTCTCACAGCATCACAAGGCTAATGCAGGGGAGGCCAGTTGTAAGACTTACTGTATCGAGAACTATAAAGTCGCATTGTTCTGCTCATATGTGTCAGCAAATATTTCAGATTAGAATTTTAATAAATCAGATTTTTATCATTTTTAATGGGGGCTAATGGAATGAATTAAATGTTTTTGACTGAAATCCAACACTTTAAAATGATACATTACAAAGTTCAGTTGTTATAAATGTGGTACTACAGTGGCATCTAAGAAACTGCCATTACTGAAAGGCTTGTTGGTATCACAACCACTAGTAGTTCTAATAGCTTGGACTGAACTGTGACTAATCCTGTATCCTCACATCCTTTCCTAGACTTCCTTACTAGATATCTAAATTTGTCCATAACCCCAGACAAGACATTCAATTGGACAAGTACTGTTTTGATACTGTCCTGAACAGGGTCGAGTGCAATGCAGAACTGAAGACCTGTTCAAGCAGCTTACGGGTCCGTTTGTAACACTGATTGGTTAAGGTTTGGCCAGTGTCAATTTATATTGATTTTTGTTTGACTTCATGATTGGGGAAAACTGAAGGATGAGAATTTAATGTGTAGAAACCTAATTATACCTAAAATAATATAATTTCTTCAACTTTGAGAATAATCGCTAACATTTTTTTATAGAATCCTTTTTAAATCACCTTCATTATAGGAGCATGTGGTTTCTGTTGTATGAAGGTTGTTTCAATCTCAAATTGAAAGCAATGATTAAAGAAGGTCAGAAAACAATATCCTTATCATGATGTCTTTAATTGGGAGACATTATTTTTTTAGAACTCTAATCTCTTTAAAAAGATGGCTGTAGAACTATTTAAAGATTCACTTTCTAATCTGCTTTCATATTATTTTGTTTCAATGAAATCGCATGGAAGTACTAATGCCCAGATGGCCATGCAGTATGAAATAATAGTGCCCAGGCTAGAATTTAAAGTCATACCTCCAGGCAACAACTCCAGAGCGCTCACAGAATGAAAGTGTAAAATGTTTTTTAATGTATATTTAACAACAAATACCCCAGTGACTAGTGATGTTTCATCTCAGAAGAATCTATTTCTCAAGAATATCTGAGGGCATGATATGAAACCACTCACTTTTATTTTCACTGTTTTTCTGCTCTCTTCCTCTGTCTCTGTTTTTTACTCTTTTTTTTCCATCTCTCTTTAAACATTTATCTTCTGTTTTCTCCTTACAGGCCCTTTGTGCTTTGTGATGTTGGTTTTTACAGCTTTTAACTCACCAGAGTTGCCATATCTTTTATAGATGCCAGCAGCACTGAGCACATCTGAAATGTTACCATTTTACGGTGGCTAATTGTCATCGTATGCGCTACTCCCTAGATGTCATTTGCACTTGGTCCCCTAGGAACCTGTGTTTTTTCACAAGATGTATTTATTTTACACCGTGTTTCTCTCTCCCAAATTTCCATCTTGTTCATGCAAACACTCACAACATACATTCTTACACAAAGGGACAAAACCACAAAGTTAAGACTGTATTACCTTAAACTCAAACACCCAATGACAAAGTCAATTTTTAGGCTTCAACAATATCTTTTCCCAGAATGCCTTGCCATCTCTTGATGTTTAATGGTGTTTACAATTGTAATGACTGTACTCAGGCACACCCTAAAATGAACAGTTTTTCTCTTAGATTTTACAAAGACATTCTCTGATGCGTAGTTTGTCTCAGTCCTGCCTTTCCTTGAGTTTTTAGGTGCCACTGAAATGAAAAACATTCTGAAAGAGAGGGATTAGCGGTTTACACTTATTATTCTATTATTTCTGTTGGCCATTTTTTCTCTTTTGTATATAGAGGGAGTCCCAAAATTAGTATAAGTCTTTACAAAGATGTTATTTTCAGTCTCAGAATAAAATCCATACATATCAGAGACCTGCTAAACACTCCACCAGTGCTTTTGATTTGTTTTCTTGAGACCCAATTAAAGCCTTGCCTATTGAAACACTGTGTTATTATTCATAAAATTAACATGGCTGAAGTATAAATATGTGAAAGGTGCATGGTAAAGGGACGATGGAGGGCTGGGATTTAAGAAACAGATCTGTTCGCTACTTGACGTTCAGGGAGCCTCTGAATTTTATGAGCAGAAAAGCTTGCCCTTGAAAGCTAACCCCTGCTCTATCTTCTCCTTTGACCAAACTGATTATTCACAATCAATAATGGTTTTTATTTTTGTCTTCTTTCTTGTCTCTTCTGGGGCCCTAGGATGCTGCAGGCAAGGTGCTGGACCGCTGGACCATCATGTCCCGAGAAGAAGAGATCATCACCCTGCAGCAGTTCTTGCGCTTTGGTGAGACCAAGTCCATTGTGGAACTGATGGCCATTCAGGAGAAGGAAGGTCAAGCGGTTACTGTTCCCTCCTCCAAGACAGACTCTGGGATTAGGACATTCATTGAAAGCAACAACAGAGCACGCAGCCCTGGGCTCTTGACACATCTAGAAAACAGTAGCCCATCCAGTATTCACCATTTTGAGAATATCCCCAACAGTTTAGCATTCCTCCTGCCCTTCCAATACATCAACCCAGTCTCTGCCCCTATGCTTGGCTTGCCACCCAATGGCCTGCCTATGGAACAGTCTGCTCTCCGGCTCCGTGAGCCGAGCCTGCCAAATCAAGGTGAACAGCTGGAGACCAGTGAATCAGAAGTGTCCCTGTCACCCTTCCGCACAGGACAGAGCCCCAGCCGTGGAGCCCTGGGAGGGATGAACAACAACATTGAGCCCAAGACAGAGCCCAACAACCGGGCATCTCCCATCTCACCAACCCCTTCCACCCAGCAGGCTCAACAACAGCAGCAACAGCAGACACAGCTACAGCAGCAGCAGCAGGGCCAACAGCAGTCCCAAAATCAACCTCAACAAAACAGTTTGAGTGATCACCAGGTCCACCACCATTTTGTAAAGGACGAGCACTCTAAATCAATCTCTCATGCATCCTTTTCCTCTAAGATGCATCGCATGCGCAGAATGGGATCAACCTCACGCAAGGGTCGTGTGTGCTGCAACTCTTGTGGCAAAACCTTTTATGACAAAGGTACCCTTAAGATACATTATAATGCTGTACACTTGAAGATTAAACACCGCTGCACCATTGAAGGCTGTAATATGGTTTTCAGCTCACTACGCAGCCGCAATCGACACAGTGCCAATCCCAATCCAAGGTTGCATATGCCCATGTTGCGCAATAACCGTGACAAGGACCTAATCCGTTCCAATTCAGCCCCTGGTACACCTGTCATTTCAAGCACCAAGAACGGTGGTTTTACACTCACCAGCCCTGGAAGACCACCACTTGGATTCAGTACTCCACCAGTTGACCCTATGCTTCAATCACCCCTGCAAAGCCCACTGATGTTCCCCACCCTGAAGTCAGTACAGCCAGTCCAGCCCGTGCCCCCCTTCTACCGTACACTACTGTCCCCTGCAGACCTCGTCAGTCCCCCAGTGTCACTACCCACTAGCCCTATTCTGCCCACTACCACCAACAGTACATCCCTGATGGACCAACAACAACACATCTTGGCTGCTGTGGCTTCACACAATAATGTTCATGTATCAGACATAGGACCCATGTCCCACCGCTTACATACATCTAGTGCCAATCACGATTTCACAACTGGCATAAGTGACCCTACACCCAAAAAGAAGCCTCGTAAATCGAGCATGCCAGTAAAAATTGAGAAGGAAGTAATTGATGTTGCAGATGAATATGACGACAAAGATGATGATGACGACTGTCACCTCCACCATAACCACCATAATCACCAATCATCGATCCTTCACAACAATGTCAAAATGAATGGCAACTGCAACAGCAACAACAACAGTGGTGTTGGTAATCACAGTGGTGGCAGTGGGCAACAATCCCCTTCCCAGGATGAGATGAGCCCTGGCCTAGTTATGAGAGGCACAATGAGACAGAGTGAAGATGAATGCAGGGAAGGGACTGGTAGTGACAGTAGGGGTGGAAATGATCTACAAGGCTCTGGCGAGCTCCGATGTATGGACAGTTTCACTTCTGAGGACCAGGACCATGAGAGAGACTTTGAGAACGAATCTGAAACTTCTGATTCCAAGATGTTCTTCCGTGATGAGTTGATAGATGTGGATGAACAGCAAAAACACATCAGGGGCAGAAGGGGTCTGGACCCTGAACAGGACGATGAGGGTGGTGAGGAGGCCAATTTGAGAAAGGAAATGGAAGGAAAGGGTCATTCCTCCCCTCATCAGCCCCCGATCAAGATCAAAGAAGAACTTAACGACCCTACGTATGATATGTTCTGCATGGGCCAATATGGCCTCTACAATGGTGGCATGGCAGCAGCTGCTGCTGCTGCTGCGAGCATGGCTGCTCTTCACGAGAGCTTCATCTCTTCAATGGGCTATGGTGCCAGTCCGCCAAAATTTCCTTCTTCTCAATCACCAGAGGGAGACCCATGCTCAAGTCCTGATCCCAAAATTTGCTATGTTTGTAAGAAGAGCTTCAAGAGCTCATATAGCATGAAACTACACTACAAGAATGTGCACCTCAAAGAGATGCATGTGTGCACTGTGGCTGGCTGCAACGCGGCCTTTCCTTCCCGGCGAAGCCGTGACAGGTCAGTTCTAGAATTTGGTAACGTAACAATTATATCTTAATGTTGTTTTGACAGACGCAGGTAGGTTGAAAGGGAATGTTACATTTTATCAGCTATTATAAACAAATGGAAGAACACAGATCTACAAAATAAACTGTATTGATTTGCAAGGATATAGCAGTTTTTTCAAGCATTTACGACTTTATATTGAACAACTACATTTAGTGGCAGTATACACCTGTTAGCTAAATCAACACTAAATTAATTCAGGGACATCTGCTCTATGTCATGTCAAAGTTCAGACAAGTAGGGTGTCTAGATGAGAAACACATATGTTAAAACAAGCATTGGCCTGACATATCAACCCTGCAGCTCGAGTGTGCAATTTACCTGCCTTCACCACCTCAACTTGTTACCATGAGCTGAAAGTGCATATATTAACATAGACAGCTGTTTGTCAAACCACTGCATTTATTAGCGCATTAGAGGGTGAGGCTAGCAATGCTCACCTGAGCTTGTTAGCACATATCAGTCCCGCACTCATAGAATTTATAAACTGCAGCAGATTTGGCAGCAAGCTGATGCTAAAACATATGATGGTACATAACATCACTATTGCCCCGGGGTTAGTGAATGCTCCAAAAGAGTAACAAAAATTATTTTGTTTTCCTGGGAGTTATTTGTGTGCCAAATTAGCAAGCATTTATTCATGTTAAAATGGGTTACATTTCTTCCCGACCCTTTGCATAGAGGTATAAATAACACATCTTAAAATGTAATGTAGTTACAGAGGGATATTTAAAATGAAAAATACATATAATTTTTAATAACCCATAACATGTAAGAAATCCTTTGGAGTAAGGGCCACGTTGCATATTACAGCACTATCAATTGTAAAAAATAAAATAAAACATTCTAAGGTGAACTTTTTCTCTCTCACACATAAACCACTCTGCCCCTCTGCATCTCTTCCTCCACCACTGCTATCTCCCTCTACCTAAAGTTGCTGCTCCTTTTTCACTGAAAGCTTTTAATTACTTGTTGTTTTGATGGCATCTGTTCCTACAACTGTTTATTAATTAGTAACATGTAAATAGAGCTGGTGATTGTGGCATTCTGTTAGATTGGATGGGGGTGGGGTGGGGGGGGGGCACAGGAGATAACTTTGCATTATAGAAGGTGCAACTCTGCTGCTCATATGATGGATGCAGTGTTGTACTGACAGCAGCAAGATGACAGCAAGTGTTATAATGGCATACATTGTCTAAGCAAGGTGTACTGCCACCAATAATTTTGTTTCCTATACTCACATAGTAACACAGATGCAAACACACAGGGGTACAAACAAAAATATAACAAAGGAAACTACCTGGCCCGTAAAAAAACATTTTCTTGTTGTAATTAGTCTAATTTTGCTTTCAATAAATAAGTTGTTGAATGTGAAAAATTAAATGCCCCAGATGAAATTTTGAATACCAAGAAGACAGCTCAAAACAGATTTATAGGGGAAATAAACAAGATCAATGATTCCAACCGTAGACAGGAGTGACACCAAACAAGATAAAACTATTTCACACTAGCTTACATTGTTTAGTGCAGTTAGTAATTAGCAGATTGTTGATGCTAATGTGGGTAGTTTGAATAAGAAAGTCAGAAAGTAGAAATCTGACAGAATGATGACTCCTGGTAAACTAAGTTAGGCGTCAACATTGAGAAGAAAACATAATAATGATCATGTAGATCATGGGGAAGAGCATTTTCACAAAACTGTGGCAGGTGTTTTATATTTTCCAGCAATATTATGAGTAACGAGAAAAGTATCTCTGTCCAGTGTTTCACCTCAGACATAAACTATTGATCAAAACAACACTTAATTCTGAACACAAAAAACCTGCTTAAAAACGAGACAGAGGCTAAGCAGGGGTAATTTTGAGTTGTTTTCACAGCTGTAAAATATACTCTTCAAAAGTATTACTCTGCTTACTCTTCTCAGTACTTCCCAAACATCTGTGAACATCCATCAACAGAGAAGTCCAACACCTGATAAGTCTATTTGCTGAGCGAAAAGGCAAAAGCATGTAAAAACCCACACCCAGATATCAAATTAAAAGCTCCAGTATCGAAAGGGAAGAGAAAACAGAGGAGAGAGCATTTTATCTATAGAGAAAAACCACCATAAGCCAATGACATTGTCAGAGTAGGATACACTGTACATACTCCGCTATGAGAAAAGATGTATTACTGGTGTTTGTTCAGTGAGGATCCCTGCACTATTTCTATGACTTTATAGGATTTTAAACATACAAAAAGATTAATGAACATGGCCAGTGCACAAACTTACAATCAAGAACACAGGAAAGGATCGTTGTATGTGCCTTGAGCAGGCATGTAATGTGCCTGTTTTTGGAGTGTCAAACAGATACCAACATAAGTGTGGTTTTACAGTGGGGTGTTTTCTCCAAGCCTACCAGCTGCCTGCTGCACGGAGCTAAATGATTGCATATTTATTGTGGGGAGCGAGCAGCGTCGGCAGAAGTGTTGAAGAGGCTGCATGATTAACTGCTACAAAGATGCACATACCAGTTATCATCACCGTTATTGGCCTCGTTCATCATATTTTTCAAACCACTGACAAGACTCGACTTATTTATCTAATGTTTATCAGACTATCCTGCGTCTGTTTTTTTAACCTTCACCACTCCAACATTTTAACCTGCTCTTGTGTCGCTAAAGAAACCATGCGTCCTCCCTCTTCCACATTCCCATGGTGCGGCAGCGCGCAGCCCCGTGGTCCCTGCACGGGCCACTGCAAACGGAGAGAGTGAAGGTTAATTATGTTGGAGAGACTCTTTCCTCCCTTCTCCTTCCTCTCTCTGTCTCCCTCCCTTTCCCTTGGTCCCTTCACAGCATGTAGGCCCGCTCCGTAGCTTCACAATCGGCTCTGTTTGTCTCTTATAAACAAAGGGCATGCTGCTCATAGAGAGAATATGTAAGCAAACCCCGCTTACACCACAACCCTTTGGTTCATCACAAAGATGTCCTTGTGGTGATTTTTGTAGAGAGAAAGAGGAATTATTTTATTCTGAGATCAATAAAATATAGAAGCTCATGCTAATGTCATTACATTTTAAATTTATTACAATAATTTCTTGGTATCTATGCACTCGTTTGAGGATCTTAAAATCTTTTATCGTTGCCCTCGCAGTTAAATAGACAAAACAATGCAAAGTAGATGTAATAGGGACAAGGAGTGATAAATGTTTCTAACATCGTTGTCCTCCCACTCACACATAAAACCTCATAACACACCCTAAATGACAGGAAAGACAAAGACTTGTGTCTGTTTAATACCACTCAGCCCTTCATCTCATTTACACATTATGAGTCATTTAGACAACATACACTCACACACACACTGACACAAAAACAAGGGCAAGGGCCATCACATGAGCCTAAAGATGATTAACGCCGGTTGGGACAGGCACACTCTCGCTCTTCCTCCTCTGCACAGTTAAAAATGGGCTCTCTGGAGACCTCCCCCATCTTTTGGGCAAAGATGAGAGAGTCAAATTGGTTTGCCAGGCACATTACTAGCCAGCAGGGAGGTAGAGATGGAGGTGGTGGTGGTGTGTGTGTGTATGTGTGTGTGTGTGTGTGTGTGTGTGGTGGGGGGGGGGGCTAAGGAGTTAGGTTAGGGGGAGTAAAGATAGTAAGGTGGAGTGATGGAGGTGGGGGATGGAGGGAGTGGAAAATGGGGAGAATTTCTAAATTTGATAAATGAAGGGATAAGTGCATTATGCCTACTGTGTGGGGATTCAGCTGTCTTGTTTTGATTATTCAGGTCAACAAGACCCTGCCAGTGCCAGCACAGGAGTTAAATAGTAATGCTTATGCAAATGTTCGTAAAATTCTTTTTTCGACTCTTAAATATTACAGAATTTTCAAACACGTACAAATGAGTTATCATCATTAAGTGACTTTTCTCTTCCCTTTTTTTTCACCCATAATTGATCTGTTAAATAGGACTGCAGTAAATGTGTGTATTTTCCATGAGATGTTGCTGTTATGTTCTAACCATGTGGTATGCATTTTGAGTATTTAAATGGCTATTGTTACTACAGCGCAGACTACTTTCTGCAAGATTTTTAACTTGATTTTAGTGTCTTAAAATGAGATAGCCATGGTAAACTTAGAGCTTATTAGCAGTGAGAAGGTGTTGTTATAGAGATGGAGACATGTTGCAAAGGACCTGCCTACCTGAGCATCATCAACAGCATCCTTCAGGCTGTATTGAGCAAATGTGGCGCTGCTGTATGTCAAAGCCTGCAGAAATCGATCCAAATGCTTTACATATTGATGACTGATTAAGATAGTTTTCACTGTCTTCAAACACTCTGACCTCTCAGAGCCAAACGTCCACACATGTATTTGACTAGAAAGGGATACAGCCCCACAGACATTGAATCATGACTCCCATATTTTAGCCATAAGCCTACACCATATGGGTGCAACTGTACTATCAAAGGATAGAAAAAGAACAAAGGATTTATATAGTCCTTTTGATCAAAGTCCCACTATATGGAAGTAGTATATTTTCTGTATTTCACACACATACACACAAGTAGACAAAAGCCTGTGCAGGCGCACACACGCGCAGTGACAGCCATGGCCAATCGATTTGCCACGCTCTCTCTCTCCTCAATGCTGACGATGCTCGAGGTGTACGGGCTCCTGGTTGCCTGGTTCACAGAAAAGGGTCCCTGAAATGAATGTATTTTTACCTCTTGCAGGACAATGTCGGATAGGGAAGTAAATAATTAAAGGAAAGGGACCCTTTTTGACTGCATCAACCCTGCCACTGCTGGTAAGCTCTACTATCCATTGTGACTCCATTTTGCCCATCCTGCCAAGGATGACCGTTTTGATTTTCTTCCTTTGCATTTTTTTTATTTTGTATTACACACATGTGCCCTCCCTGCATGGAAACCCCTCACATTAAAGGCACTGAGTGTTTGCATAATTTATTTATTTAATTTAAATGCTAACCCAATTTACAATAAGAGGAATGGGCTTTGTGTATGTCCCATTTGACACCGGCCATTAGTTAAGTTTCCTTTTTGTGATTTGCAGTTTTATTGTGACATTTGTGCAGTTGATCCCCTTTTAGCCCAATTTGGCAACCGTGAAATTGGAGCATTGAATTTTAATATCAAGCCCATTTCACCTTGCATCTTTCAGGCATGGCTTTGTATGCTAACTGGATTCCTCACCATTAGTATTGTGGCTTAAGCATGGCACTTGTTACTTGGTTCCTTTGATCATCAGCAGCACATCGTGTGATACAGTTTGCCTTGTGTTTTGGAAAAAAATGCCCATCTTAATTTGATCCAGGGCTACATAAAGACATGTTCACTGAGGTGCTCGATTAAGCCACCTCCAATAGGGAACGAATACGATAATGCTGTCAGGGCCTAGTGCTAATATGCTATCCAGTTCCCCTCGATTATCACATTACCACAGCTCGAATCAATTGATAAACTCCCATTCAATATGGTGGAGTATTTAATTGAGTCAGAGTCTATTGGATTTGAGGGCTGTGCAGTGCAGACATGCTGACAGCAGTAAACACTAGCAGGATGCTCTCTCTCTCTCTCTATGCGATCTTAGAGCATTTTTCTAAGTAGAGCTGCAGGGTGAATTTCAGTCTGTACTTTTGTCTGTGTACCCCTGTCTGTGTACCCCAGTGAAAAGTTATAATAATGTTCATATGTTGTGGTTTTAAGATATTAAATCTTTGTAAAAAAAAAAACAAGATAACACATAGGAAAACAAAAATTGGTCTTAATTACACCACTTTGGGCATAATGCATTTGAAAAGTTACAATCTTCATACGCTGGATGAATTTTTATGTATGGCTATGTCTGTCTCCCCACATAGGCACAGCTCCAACATCAACCTGCACCGCAAACTGCTGACCAAAGAGCTGGACGATATTGTCCTGGACCCCCAACTCACGCCACTGCCCAAGGACCTGCGAGCCGAGTTACTTGCAAAGATCTATGCCGGGCACCACATGGGCATGGACCCTATGGCCAGGATGGGCATGGGAGGCGCCAGCCTCGGGCCCACTGGCCTGAACCACCATGTCCGTTCCCCAATGAGCATCGACTACCCCCACCACCCTCTCAACCAAAACCTTAGATACCACCACACAAATGGCTTCTCCCGAGGCCAGCCAGAGGACTACATGGTATTGGACCTGAGCACCACATCCAGTGTTCAATCCAGCAGCAGTATCCACTCCTCCCATGAGTCAGACGAGGGCAGCGATGAGGGCATCCTGTTGGATGACCTGGAGGGGGAAGAGGGAGAGGAGGAGGAGGAGGAGGGCAACAGTGCGGGGGAGGACTGCTCCCAGCGAGCTGAAGGGCGGGCTGAAGGGAGGAATCTGGATGAGACTGGAGAGCTAAGAGGAGATGGACAAGGTGAGGGGATGGAAACTTCCTCCTCACCATTCCTCCTTTCATCCACCGGGGGCAATATTGGCAGCGGTGGGATCCTCTGCAACATCTGCCACAAAATGTACAGCAACAAAGGGACTCTGCGTGTGCACTACAAGACTGTGCACTTGCGCGAGATGCACAAGTGTAAAATCCCCGGTTGTAACATGGTGTTTAGCTCCGTGCGCAGCCGTAACCGACACTCTCAGAACCCCAACCTCCATAAAAACATGCCCTTCTCCACAATAATAGACTGAATAATGACTTGTTACTCTACCCTGCTGTCAGTCTGCCTGCTCCTCCCTTCATTCCTCATCCTTATTCCTCCTCAAATTAGCTTTTAACCCCAGCCCAGGGCCATGAAATACAAGCTCAATGCCTGTATACCTCCTGCCCGCCCTCAATAAATCATAGCAAGACGTTTCTATGTCCCTCTATTAAATTCATTGACTGTAATTACAGTTTAATATTGTGACATTTGACTTTTCCTTCTTTGGAAGAACAGGACGAACACGCTCTTAAGCATGGAGTTTCCTTTATTACAAAACTCCACTTCTGTTTTGTTTTTTTCATAAGCCCCTCCACCTTTCCTTTCAAACGTCTCCCCACTTTGTTTTGATGTCCGTCTACAAAGAATCTATTCAAACTCTTTTTTGTGACTTTGCCTGCAGAAATGATAGTATTGAGAAAAAAAATGAAAATCTTCTTGTTGTATTTGTGTAATGATAGCTTTTAAATGAACCCCTTACAAAAGCATGACAGCTTCATTTGTAAATAATGTCCCAAGAGGCTTTTGGTGTAAAAGACTTGTGTTGATGGTTGTTTGCTTCTTTTTTTCTCTCCTCTTTATGGTTTTATGTTACAGTCCAGTACAACACTTCCAGCTATAGGCAAGAAAGAGGTAGCATCGTACTAGCTTTATTCATTTATGTTAGCTTCAAAGACACGTTTTAAACTGAGTCCTAGGGAAAAAAAAGAATATCATGTGGCTTGTTTTATCTACTTGTTAGATATCCAGAGGTTGCCGGCATGCTTTTTTAGGCTCCTACACTGATATCATTCTCTGTATTTCTATTGATTTTTGTTAGTTTGTTATGTTTATGAGCTTTAGTATACGATTTCAGTTTTTGCACTTTGCATCTATACAAGGGGATGTGTAATATTATTATAATGAGGACTTTTGCAATGGTAAGTTTAGGTGTTGTTTAGGGTCATCGATGGCTACAGTGCCAAGGGAAATGTCAGTATCTTCACCATACTTGTGCCAGTTTCTTTTTGCACGCCAAACACAGTTTTGACAACATAAAATCCTCTTGCCTCCCTGAACAAAAACCCCAAATCTTTCTCTATTGCCAAACAACAAGTTTATCAAAATGTCTCCAAAGTGTCTTGTTTTGTAACAAAGCCAAGTGTGACTGATTATAAACTGCTGTTTCACAAACACAGAGGAGTTAAACGTTCATAAAAGTCTCTCCTTTTTCTACTTTAGGAAATTACTTGTGTATTGTTGCCAGTTATGATAACAATATTGACTTCACACATTCAATGGGGTAATCTGTGTAAAGCATGACATTATTGTGACATTGTCAAACAAAGTTACAGATGCAAGTTACAGATGCACTTATGTTCGTTCTCAGAAAAAAAGCATCTTAGTGAAACAAAGCTGTCCCATAGATTTGAAAGAAAAAAAGATGAAAGTAGTCCTTCAACTGTGACCAAAACAAGAGTGTTTTTAGTGTGACCTTGTACTTAAATCTGACCTATTGGATTAATATGATGCACTTGAGTCTTAAATATTTTGTTGTGATATTTTCAGTATTGGTTTCCAGTGCTTACTGTCGGCTACAAATGTACTCTACAATAATGTAGGGTTTTTTGTCTGGCCGTTAGTCAAAGCCATTTTGTCCATGATTCTCGCGGTACAAATATTTCCAGTAACTGGGCAAAGTAGCCGAGGGAAGGGGTATTTATTGGTAGGTGATGTATCGTCATGAAGACGTTTTTGTCCAGTATAAGAATTTTTTTTTTTTTTGTAAAAAGATACAAAATAGAGTTTGTTTTTTTTTCCCACAGTTTGACTTCTTTATCATGTATGAACAATGTCATGTGTTACAAAACAAGGAGATCTTCTCTTACTTGACTGGTGCTACACACAGAGGGAAAAAATATGCAGTGATATGTGGTGTGCTGTACAGTATTCAAAAACACCTTAGATCCATAACAGTGTTCACTTCCATTTGTTTCATACTTAAGCCATTTTGCAATATAGACATGACCTATTCCAGTGAAATATGTCATGTCTTTTTTTTAAGACTCCTCCACCTCAATGACACATGCAGTTTTCAGTCCTCTGTTCTTTGAGATAAAATGAGCGAAGCAGAGAAGTGAGGCTGATGGAAAGGTTGCGGAGGTGGAAGGCTGACTAGGGAGGAAAGGATGACAGCAAGGATCATTAAAAATGTGCTGCTTCTCTGTTACCTGGAGGCGTCCCTGCCATTCCAGCTTCTTCTGTCTAATAACTCACTTGTCACTTCGTTACACTGCAAGACGCTAAGGTTGCTGACAAGACTGTGACACTGACAGAGAAAAAGGAGAGAGATCGTGTGCTCTGAGCAATTCAATTACACACATTCAGTTAAATTCAAATTAATTCACAGATTAAATTTCTACACGTGCTTTATCTTAAAGCAGCCGCTGATAATTCAATTCCTTTCTCCCACTCTGTTTCTTTTTTGTCTGTCAGAGCACAGTCATTTAACAACCGCCTTACCCATTTCTTCAACCCGCCACTCACTTACCACCTCCACACCCCACAGCGCAGGTCCTACAGGGACACACACTAATAGTGTATGCTTAAGTTCACCGGACGGCCATGGCATAGGAAAAAGGGATGGGTAATTGCCTGTTTATCCCAAGTGAAGGGAAAATTGAGTACAGGAACCCCTGCCTTCTCCCAGGAGTGGGTTTCACTGAGGCGCTTGCTGCCTCATTCACTCATTCAATCCCCCCGGCCCTCGCTCTGGCAGAAATAAAAAAGTGCTACTCCAGGAACCCCGCTGACAGCTGTCTCTCCAACACACGCACAAACACACACACACACACACACACACACACACACACACACACACACACACACACACACACACACACACACACACACACACACACAAACACACACACGCATCATGAGGAGGACCGTGACACTCACTCACATGTGCTTCCTACTTACAGGCCAGAAGGATGACAAGATCTAGATGACTTGTTAACCTCTAGTGATGGAGAAGGCAGAGACAAATCTAGAGTATTCTCACCACAGGAAATTAAACTCTCATTCTAGCATTAACATTATAGCTGCTGCCACGACAGAGAAATCTAACATTCCATCATTGAGAGTGGTGAGAGGAAGCACTGAGTCAGACATGGGAAGGTGAAGCTCTCATTACTAGTTCATATTATAAAGCCTAACATGATTAAAGCTAATTATTATTACACACACTTATCAAAGACGACATCAACAGATTTAGAAATAACTGTATTTAAAGGGTTAGTTTGAGCACTCTAGAAATAAGCGAGCTGTTCACACTTAAAAAAAGTCCCAATAACCTTCTTCATCAGAAAAAAAAAAAACAGTTTTAACATTTGTGTCCTGTTCTTTTCTAACATTTTAGTAGGCAGCCGCTGGAGTGCATGACCTCTCTATCTGTGCATGTGCAAGACAAAAAACTGAATATTACAGACGAGATTCTCTAACAACTCCCTTCTCCTACCTCCTACGGGCTGCTTCTGAGTCCTGCGTGGTGCTGGTCTTGCCAACAGAGCTCAGAGCTGGAGACAGAGCGGGAAAAAAAAAAAAAAACATGCAAACGACTGTCCGGCATAGCCAGGGAGACAGACAGCAAGAGAGAGAGAGAGATGGTGGACAGGAATTGGGGTATTTTTTTTTTTTCAGAGAATGATGTGGTTGGAGCCTTGCGGCAGTCACTTAACAAGACAGGGGAGAAAGAGAGGAACACAGGGAGAAGAGAGAGCAAAAGAGCAGCAGCAGGGCCAGGGCTCCTCAGGACTCATCGCCAGCTTCTTCTTGATTGCCTGCTGGAGAGCGATCTAGCCGCCCCTCACATTTCCACCCTTTTCTCTTACACTCTTCACTCCTCTGAGAAATGACCACCAATTTGCCCCTCTCCTCTGAGAAAGCCCCCAATCCAATCTTGTCCTTTTTTTTTTTTTTTACCTCCGAACACATGGGCTCAGGTGCATTCTGCTACCTAGTGACGGAGGCCTGTGGATGCCCAGGAACACGTCACTTAGAGCGCCTCATTGGTGCAGACCACTGGAGTGAATCTTTAATATTTGATTAGAGGAGCGTCAAGCATCAATTATTCTGTAATTCTACACAGCAACACAGAGGGAGAAGGGGATGGCAAACGGTTGAAGCGGTTGACCTGTTAATCACTGTCCATTTTGTTTACGTCACAGAGTGAGTGAGTACACTAGATGTAGAGAAGAGGAAGGGAGGTTAAAAAAAAACACACATGCAAATACTCCAGTTAATGTAGCTCATGAAACAAAGTGGGATGAAAATGTTTGATGGGAATTTTTTAGGAATATGCAGATAGAAGAATAATGCACACATACAGTACATGGTTTTGTATAGATGCTTCAGTCTCATGTGTTATGTTCTAAAAAAAAAAAAAAAAAAAAAACCCTCATTAAATTTGAACTGGAACCTGTGAAATGTCAATGATCCTGAAAAAAAATACTGTTTTCCATTGTGCCAATTATAATTTTACAGTCTTACGATATAAATAAGCTTGAAGATCTGGTGAATTAAGATTTTTGTTCTCACTTATGTTTTCGTGTATCAAATGATTTATGTGTGTGTCTTGAAGAGCCCAGGTTATGGCTCTGGCTCTCAGACGCGTTGCATGGCTACATAGTCGCACTGCAAGGAACAACACTTTGGTATAAAATGGTGATTTGGAAGCCTCATGAATACTGTATGTTACCTGAACAGATGTTTCCCATTTGCAGACAGGAGGAAAAAACACGGTCCTCTTTTTAAAAGACTCTTCTTTTTTTTTTTCTTTGCCTTTCTTTTTTTGCCTCTCTTGTATTTGTTTCTGTATCATAACTGTCTATTGTTTTTGCATAAAATGCATAAGGGTTTTTGGGATGTAAATGGAATTTTATTCATATTTTGTCCAAATACCTCTTGTAATTTGTATCAGAATTCTTGTACAATTTTTATATTAAAGATTTATCAGTCACTGGCACTTTGTCCTAACATTTAATTCAAATGAGAACGCCCTGGAGTATCATAATGATTACCGTATTTTGTTATTGTTCGTCAAGAGTTTAGAAACCTGACAAGGAAAGAAATGTAAAAAAAAAAAAAAAATGTCAGAGCAACGGAAGCATGTGTCAATCAAGCCATTTTAACAAGACACTGTGATTTCAGCAGGTTTCTGCTGGGCTCTTTAATTACCCTGTGATAAAAATCACTAGGGAAAAGGCTATCTTGACCAATTAGTGGACGATTAGATTAATGGAGTTATTAAAAGATGTACCGGCATGAGGAGAAGGTGCTGCTGGTCTTAGCAAATTAGTAAGCTGGTCACTGAAGGAGGGAAACAGAGGACACACAGACCCTTTTTCTGATCGCATGCTGAAATTAAATTAAAGGTATGTTATCTGAGGAAATATTAAAGTACTTGTGATTGGTTTCAAGGTCTTTTGTATACAAAAAAACAGAAAAGCCTTTTATGAGAGAACAGTTTTCGCATCCCTGCACGAAAGGTTAAAGCAAATAAATAATGATCTCCAAATATTTACATCATCAATGAAAAATGAGTTTATTTCTAGAAAAATGATGTGACACTAGAGACAGAAATTGACAGCGACACTGAACAAATGCAGGGTCATTTTGCCACAGCGACCTGTGCTGACATCATTTGCTGTGACTGGAGGTCAAATTACAAATTGATATGAGCTCCAGCAGGGATGTCATGTTTGCTCTGGTAACCAACGGGAACATAATGCCTCCTCCTCCTTCCCCTCTGTGAGAGTGAAGGAGTGACACAGGCCTTATTGACCTTGAATTAGACACCGTTCCTCTGTGTCACACATCAGTTCTTTGATCCCCAGTCATTTTTGATAAGTGCACAACACACACATACACACAGCATTTCAGAATAATAGCGTAGGATTATACAGTATATGTAGGGTTTGTAAAACATTTTCCACCACCTGTCTTAAGCGCACACACATAAACATACAGTCCCTTCGTCTGGGACGAGCTCCACCCAAGGAGGCGATGGGCGCTTTCCGTCACCAGGCTGACCTCCCAGCTACATAACTGAGCGCATTTCTTATGGCGGCAGGTCATCGATTGGCCTGACAAACATGATGGCCCACCACTGACCTTTGAGAGCTCATTGCTGTGGGAGAGTACATACAGACGAACAGACAGCCAGGGCCAGCTTTGTTGCGTCTGAATTGAAAAGGGTGTTGCCAGGGGGTGGAGAAATTGACAGGACAAAGATGTCCATGAGTCCTTCAACGGTATCTGTCTGTCTGACCTCAGAGTGAGGCAATTGATGTGTCTCCCATTGTTTTGGTTTTTTTCAGGTTGAAATGTTTTGTTTCAGACTTAAATTATTAAAGAATCTAAGCTGATGGAGAAAATCTGTACATAAACGACTTGTAAGGTTACATTGAAATAGATGGTATTTTTTTTAGCATTAATATCTATTGCAGACTTACAAAGAAAAAGGACATTCATTCATTTCAAAACTGCAGGCAAGTGCAATATATGGGGCAAAACAAAAAAGACACAGCTTGCTTTTCCAGCCACAAGCAACAGCAAAATTCAGGTGAGGGTGATTTTTCTTCATGTTTCAGCGGATATTCTAAAACTACAATCATCTTAATTGCAAATGTATACACGTGGCATGTGACGCCATGTATGTCCAGCTTAACATCGCATGTTATTTCACTGTGCATTGGAGACATTGGTGTCTGAACCGATTCCAGTGCAGAGAATTTTGAAAATGTCATGCTAAAGAGGGGTAAAAACCAAAAGCAATACTGTTTACCAGAGTCCAAGATTAGCACCAGCCACTTGCCAAATACAGGTCAAAATATAATTTGGTGATTAAGATAAATGAGATGAACCCCGATCAGTGCAAAACATACTGTTAGTTGATGATGACCACATTATGTTTTGCAATAATTGCACAAAGCTAGCATGTGACCGCCAATAATTGTGTCACACTACTTTGATTGACCCTCGCTGTCCACCATTGGTTTGCTCAAACCTTCTTTTATTTTAAGTCTGAATGAAAAAATAAAAAAATAAAAACATGTTTCGAGCAAGTCCTGGTCGCTGCCCGACATGATACAGGTTACAAACAGAGCAACTATTGGAAAAGTGAACTTGAAGTTAGAGGACTGAGGGCTTCCTCTGCTAAGTGCAGCCCGGGGGCTGCAGGTAGACAGCCACAGTTTTATAAGATGCCCCGCACCAGCTTAGGAGGCTAGCTAGCTAGGGTAGCTAACGCTTTGGTTTAAGTGGTTGTGGATACGCATTTCCAAATCACTAAGCCTCACCTCAGGGCAAATAGAATTTACTTTGATTACATGTACCACTGTCTCTGTAGAAGGAAGACGGATACACACACCGAGAAGGAGACACCAGCAAGGATAGAGACTGACGCTAAATGATGAGTTACAAAATAGCCAATAACAGACCTGAGTAGCTTGTAATTGACTGTCAGGTAAGCAAGGGAGGAGAGAGATACATATGAGTGCTTAATCAGATCTCCTGCACATTTAAAAAAAATAAATGAGCCGCTGTATGGAAAAGTTTGATTTTCAGCAGGGGGGAGAGGAGGTACTCAGACATTTTATTAAAGAAGTAAAGTTTTGGACCCGGGTATTAACTATACAGACAAACATGCCAAAATTATACACACTAAATATATGGTCACATTCATATTTATTTTGTTACTAGTAAATCCTTTTTGAAAATCCCACAAAAGGTAGAAGCCATGTCTATGTGAAAAATGTTATTAGCTTGTCTTAGCTAATACTGTTAGCTTACTAAAATAGACCGACTGAAATGCTCACGATCAGAATACACATCCAAACACTGATGCAGTTTTGTCATGAGACTTTCTGTTGGTAAGAAGTGGCTTGTTAATACCAACCATGTCTGTCTCTTTTTAAAACAAAACACAAACAGAAGGGTGGAATGAAAAAAAATCTGAGCGTAAGTGAAATTACATCAGTACACTCAGGGAATATTTATACAAACTATATTTACTCTGATTTGTAACCTTTTTCAAATAACGTGATATCTATTTCTAAATGATTCTCACACACATACTATACCCACGCACACTTCAGTCACTGCACTGAGAGTACAAATCAATTTTCAGTGAAGGCTCACTGATTGTAATTGCGCACTATAATTAAAAGGTTGAAGAATTCAGATGAAAGGAGCTGAAAAGATTTTACAAGTCACCGTGGTCTCGAGCTGCTAAGTATAAATATCCATATTAAATGTAACAAATAACAGATATTTTTTAACTTTCTGAGATAGACTGGGTGACTGTGGGAAGAAAAATAGAGTAGTAGCAAATTGCTGTATTTTAAAATAGAATAAAATAAATGGTGACTCCTGAATTCTTAAATAAACTCAAATGTGGTAACATGAGACTTGGCTGGGATGGACCGCATTCACGTTTAAGACTTTTTACTGGGTCTTATTGATTTGGTTCTACACCAGTGAGGCCTGCAATGCTAGCTAATGCTATTGACGAGCCATCAGTCTTGTCCAGAAGTGTGGAGGCATGCAGCTCTTTTTCCAAGACCAACCAAGGAAGGAGAGAGGAAGAGGAGAAGAGAAAGAGAGGGGAAAAACATCAATGGACAGTGATGGAGAGTGGGGAGGAGGGCGAAGATGCAAGCACAGCAGACAGACTCAGACCCCTGTCCATGGTTTGGGAACACTAAATTAGAAAAAAGACAAAAGGGATGAGAGAGGGAGAAACTGTAAACAGCCGCATCGATCCAACTAGTGTTGGGCAAATCAAACCATTACAGCCAGAGTCTCATGCCCTGGAGTAGAGGGAGATAGTGTGAATATCAACACACTTCCCTAGTGGAGAGAAAAGTTTCCACCATCACACTGCATCTCTTTTAGAAATGTTGGACTTGCTAGTCTTTAGTTTGCTTCACCCGCTAAATAACAAGGTGGAAGTGCAGCAGGAGAGGAAGGGGTTAACCCAGAAGAGGGTGGAAGGCAGGATGAAAAAAGCCCTCTGGCAACCCAGGGACAGAGGGAACGCTGAACTCATCACAAACCCCTCTCCTGGCGTCCGCCAGCACATAATGACCCCAACAAGACGGGAATCCCTTTTAATTAAAGTGAAGGGAGATCAGTTAAGCAGATGGTTGCCGACAAATATTAGGGGAAATAGAATGTTTAATGGTCTGTGCACTTATCGCAGGCTATTTTCCACACCCAGCCCCAAACTGATAAACAGGACAGAGCCTTGTTAATCAACCTTACAACCTTTAAAGCCCAAGATAAGAGAATAATTCGGGATCTTTGTAAATTAGCTTGAGATGTGGCTAAGACTCTGGCCCCTTGCGTACTCAGGGCCAGACTGACGAGGAGGGAGAAGAATTTCTATCAGTGTAATAGCCTTGCGCCATGGTGAAGAAGTTTGGGGGGTAAAGTACTTTTTTTCCAGGGGATGAAGATATTTTTTACGGTATTTTCCTGAGTTTTTATTCCCCTTGTGGATTGACCCTCTTGCCACCACCCTACTGCGCTCTTATCAGTGACACAAGAGAGTCACCCGCCTCTGTGGAAATAATCTAAACAGAGAGGCGGGGAATCTGCAGCCCAAGCCGGTGGCCTGTGAGAGCAGGTTAACGGGCCCTCACCCCTCTCAGGCAGCACAGGTGGGGGGTGGCCTGTGTTTATTTTGCAGATGATGGATTGGAGAGGAAGGGATTATCGACAACAGTAGCAGCCCTGTGAGAACAGTAGCAGATAATATTTTTCTATAAAAAAAAATCATGCTGGAAAAGTTTTTCTTTTGATAGCATACTGCAGACATTCTAAAATTCATATGACTGAAGGCCACACCATTCATTTGTTATTCTATTTGATTACAATACAAACGAGTACAATCATTTGTCTCATTAAAAAAAAAATCAGGAACAAAAAATATTCTAATTGTCTGTTCACCAAAAAATGAAA